GAGGGTGGGGTGGGATATAGGAAGCGTGAGGTGGGGTGTGGGGAGGATGGAGTATAGATTGTGAGGGGGTGGAGGAATGTAAGAAAACATCAAACAGCCTTTAATTAGCTATTTAGAATGTGTTAAACACTTTACTAGACACATACAAGTGAGCTATTTAGCATGTGTTAAACACTTTACTAGACACATACAAGTGAGCTATTTAGCATGTGTTAAACACTTTACTAGACACATACAAGTGAGCTATTTAGCATGTGTTAAAAACTTTACTAGACACATACAAGTGAGCTATTTAGCATGTGTTAAACACTTTACTAGACACATACAAGTGAGCTATTTAGCATGTGTTAAACACTTTACTAGACACATACAAGTGAGCTATTTAGCATGTGTTAAACACTTTACTAGACACATACAAGTGAGCTATTTAGCATGTGTTAAACACTTTACTAGACACATACAAGTGAGCTATTTAGCATGTGTTAAACCCTTTACTAGACACATACAAGTGAGCTATTTAGCATGTGTTAAACACTTTACTAGACACATACAAGTGAGCTATTTAGCATGTGTTAAACACTTTACTAGACACATACAAGTGAGCTATTTAGCATGTGTTTAACACTTTACTAGACACATACAAGTGAGCTATTTAGCATGTGTTAAACCCTTTACTAGACACATACAAGTGAGCTATTTAGCATGTGTTAAACCCTTTACTAGACACATACAAGTGAGCTATTTAGCATGTGTTAAACACTTTACTAGACACATACAAGTGAGCTATTTAGCATGTGTTAAATACTTTACTAGACACATACAAGTGAGCTATTTAGCTTTAGTCACACTCTCACCTGGACACGTTAATGAGCTAATTGTAGCATGAGGTGTATGTACTATCTAAAAAAACCTCAGAAGCAGATTCTGATTGTACTCTTAACGAGACAATTAATGTTAATGAGTTATTTAGCATGTGTTAACCTTGACAATATACGCACATTAATAAGCTACATGTATTTAGCGAGCCGTGTAATGTTTAGCATGAGTTAAACTCAACAAGACGAACGTACATGAGCTATTTAGCATGATGTGTACTAATTGTGAGGCAGCGTGGTGGAATCAGGCTCTCGTCAATTTTTGGGCATATTGAGTTATTGGTATCATCTTAAAGCTTGTTCACTTGTCTTGCTTTCAATGAAAACATTACCCATCCATCTTCAATAGAAGTGGAGATATTTTGGATTGAAGGAGGTGGGGGTCACCTGATTTAAGAGGTAAAAATAGCGAGAAAATGGCCGCCAAAGCTTGGTAAATTCCAAAGCTGGAGAGTCCAATGAAAACTGTACATTCATATTTTTGTACCTTTGATCAACGTTTTCGGTGAAATCCTCAAAGAAATGTGTTTGTAAATGGACATAAAAGGTGTTGAGCCAAAAAACAAAAATTTGATCAAAATTGCTAAGCAGGGAGAAAACAGCTGTTTTCTTCGATTTCATTATTTTGACGAGAGCCTGATTCCACCACGATGCCTCACAATTCATCTATGTTAATCTCTGAACTAGACGATCATTAATGTGCTATGTATCACGAGGTGTACTAAAGTTAATCTCTGAACTAGACGTTCATTAATGTGCTATTTATCACGAGGTGTACTAATGTTAATCTCTGAACTAGACGTTCATTAATGTGCTATTTATCACGAGGTGTACTAAAGTTAATCTCTGAACTAGACACACATTAATACGCTATGTATGTGTACTATCTAGCATACGTTTACGTAAATCTCCGAACTGTTCTATTTTTAGCACGAGGTATACTATCTGAAGAAGTAAGAGCAGCTATCAGCACTGAGTCCTGCCTGCGTTACATAGAAAGACAGGGGATAAAATGGTTTGGCCACCTGTTACGCATGTCACGTCCTGACCAGCCAGCCTCGAGAGCCTACAACACCAAGCAATCAGGCTATAAAGGAAGAGGAAGGCCACGCAAAAGGTGGATCGAGGGTGTCAAGGAAACCCTAAGAAAACATAACATCACAACTGAAAGAGCTGCGGAGCTGGCCTACCATAGAAAACTGCATCTC